AGCTAGTATTTTTATATTAGTTATTACTAACTAGTTACCACAGCAGAGATTTAAGAAGAACACTGAATTGTTAAATTAACAAAAGGAGCTAAACCTGAGTTCGTTTCCCTTGAGTTGTCATGCCACATGCTTCTATTGCTGATGGATGTAATATATCTGGAACAGAAACCAAAGTGAATCCTTTAGACATCAGTCTCTTAACTGAGAAATGCAACAGTGCTTGTTCTAGTTGTGCAAGTTCTCTCTTTAAGTAATAACTTCGATGTCCAGTCACCAAACCCAGATTTTCCATTCTTAACATGTCGAGTTTTAGTGCCAGTTCATGGAACTGCTTTGGTTTAAAATCAAATACAGGAGCACTTCCCACAGTCTCAACCTCAACGGGTTGATCGGAGCTGTTTTCCAGGACTTTAGGATGTGTTTTATTAGGAAGTTTTGCAGCCTCTGAAATTAGTTTCTCCTCTAGCAGCGCCCGTTCGGTTTCTTCATTATTTGTAGCATCGAGTCTCCGTTTGAAAGCTATCACTTCTCTTATATTACCTGCTCCTTTTCTACACTTTATTCCATGTTCAATCTCTCTGCTGTTCTCAGGATTACACAAGTATTCCAGATTAAGTTCTGGAGGTGCCAGGTAAAACCTCTGAACAATACAGCTGTTTGAAAAATGTCTCAGGAAATGTGGTACAGTTTTTGAGGACTGGAGACACTTTGATAAATGGCAAAAATGTAAAATACATCTTTTCAGGAAAATACTCATTGTGTCAACTGTTGACCTACCATAAAAGATAACACATGTGCATTTTGTAAAAATTTGAAGAGATAAACTGAATTTGTAGACATTTCCAAAAAAGCAATTTTAACATAACAAGGTAACAATGTTTTGGGACAACATGGGACCTACTGGTGTATCTCGGCTGTTCCATACCCTAAACTTAATTAGAATAATTTTTCAAAAAATCTAAAAGCCAGCCCTTATCATTCATATACTTATCAAGCTTTTTCTTAAACTCACTTAAATTTACTGTCTCTGAAGGCAACCCATTCCAAAGACCAACCACCCTGTTAGAAAAATAAAACTGTCTTAGCTGAAGATGACTCCTTGCCAAAATTTATATTTGTGTCCACTAGTCCTACTATTCTCATTGTTAAATATATAAAAAGATGATACATCAACACTATCAATTCCCTTTACAATCTTAAACATCTCAATCAGATCCCCCTACTCTTCTTATTTCAATAAAAAACAATTTGAGAGATTTCAGCCTCTTCTCGTATGACAAACCCTCCAATCCAGGCAACATTCTAGTAACCCTTTCCAACAGTTCAATGTCTTTCCTAAGGTAAGGAGTCCAAGACTGAACACAATATTCCAAATGTGACCTGTACAATGAAATTATAACCTCTTTAGACTTGTATTCAATGTTTTTGTAGATACAACCTAAAATCCTCTTTGCCTTACCACTAGCAACAGTACACTGCTTGGATGGCTTTAGAGACTTATCAACTATTACACCAAGATCCCTTTCCTTCGTAATGCTGTTAAGGTTATTCCCATCCAAATTATTCTTATAATTCAAATTATGATAACCCACATGCATTATCTTGCATTTATTATAGTTAAAACCCATCTACCATTTATTTGCTCAACTCACTAAATGATCTA